TAAGGAACGTTGGTGTGTTTTCACCATGTGTCGAGAAACATCTTAATGAGTGAAAATCCGTCACTTTGTGGTTTCAGCATTTGGCTCACATAGCATTCTATATGAGATCAGGTTGCTGGGCGAGATTCCAGCGTCTGCAGATAGACACCGGTTCACTATCTCTAAAACTTTGAAAAAGACAACAGAAATGCAGAAGGTGGACTTAATTCATACAACATGATTGGAGAACGCAATTTCAAAAACGCTACTGTTTTCATGAAAAAAGTAGACGCTCGGCAACCAACTCAGTATGCTATATGTTTCGCGATTTTGCCGTCCGTTTCAACGACAACACGAGGCAGATTGACCAACTCTCACGCTGAGACCTCTCCCATGTGGCTGCCGACTAAAAAACGGTCTGCAGTTTTACCAAACAACTTGCCCTTCGTTTGCCATATCACATTTAGACAGTCCTACAGATGAAAACTCCAGATGATTAAGATTGCCACACCTGAAGGGTAGAAAAATTGATTGATCAATCTGCCTGAAACTATGACTTTCCCAGTTCGCCAGCCATACTTGTACACTATCGAGCTAAACCGACCTTAGAGGTTTAGTTTTTGGTTCCAAAAGAAGTGAACGAACGAAGGTCGAATTTGAGAACCTGTACTACGAGGGATTTTTCTTCCATCGACAACAAATAACCAGTTGGTTTATGGTTAGTGGATACATCAGACTAGCTTCTAAAGACTAGTGCGTTGCGTACACACTGCCATACTTTCATGTAACATCAGCCAGTATTTTTCTGGCAAACTTTTAAAGGCGCACCTGGGGCAATATATCAAATCATTTACAAAAGGTACGTAGATACCGTTTTGCTTGTTATTTCCGACAGTAATATTAGCTTCTATTTGCATACCATGCCTAGTACCCGCACCAGCTTTTCGATATCTCAGAAGGCTGAATCGATTGGTGAATTGGTCTTTAGTAGTGATTAAATATCTGAATGGGACTTGAACTCCCTACTCTAATGCTAAATATCACACTTTACTAGATTCCCGCCTATCACGTATAGACGAGGTTTAGTAAAAGCTATTTCGCAAAGTGAGAACCACTGTGCTGCAAACCAACTGACCGAAAGAGAAAAATCATTAACGACTACCCGGAGAGTAAGCCAAGCGCACCACCCGACACAAATATCCTAAGAAGTTATATGGCGCCTGTAAGTTAAGGGGGCATAGTGCAAGAAGCGTGGCGGAAACTTAAGCTCATCCCAAACCGCGCGTCTCCAGATTCTCAGTGGAACTTGTTCTCTGATACCTGAAGATTTACGTTCCACAATAAACCTCTGAGTTTACCTAACCGCTTCATTGCACACGTCATCTACCAAACCAATTTTAATCGCATGGGACTTTCGTAAAAACTGACTGGGGCCTTTCTCAGCGAATCCCAAAGTACCTACCAAAAGAGTAGCCTCAGATCATATAGCTGACATAAAAATGCTGACAGCGACACTCAGCTACACGTTATAACTCTGAAACAGGTTACATAGTTGACCTTTCACAAGTCTTCATGATCCTCAAGCGCAGCGAACCCCAGAGCTGAGGGTCTTTTGTGATTCAAGCACAACAGCCGAAAGCGTGGGTAGAAAAACTGACTCAAACCATACACAGTCGAACCGGCTCCACCCAAACTTTCGTCCTGATACTTCATTTGCCGTCTTTTCTTTTGAGCGTGCAGACTTTTATGATTGCGACCGACAAAAGTAACTAAAAGTGGTAGTATTTTTCAGTCCGTTTTTGCCGTCTTGAAAAGCACTGCAAGGTCCCAGTGTTGCAAGCCCTACGTATTCCAATAGAACATGTCCTGTGGAGAATTCCGCCCTTTTTTGTAAACCTGTACTTACTTCTGGGGGAGGGACAAAATATCTTGATCGGCGTTTGATGGTGTCGGAAAATAGTAGAAGTACGTGATTTTGCGATTTGCTCAGGCTACTAAATCGTATGTCATCCTATAAGAGAACCTGTTCAAAGTGAAGAATGAAATATTGCGCCTTGATCGCACTGATCTCAGCAACAATACACAAGTTTGTGGGAATTCTACCGGATGCTACGGAGAATTTGTTAATTTCTGAGCTTTTATCAGTATTTTTGGTGAAATACTGTCTTTGGAGAATAATCAGCATATGGTAGAGCTAATAATTTATTTAGAAATTGCTTTCATAAATGATGTTCGTCTGACTCATTCTCGTTCAAAGCTGGTCACTACGAATGTTTTGTGATCTATCGATCACTGCTGCTGCGAGGGAAGTAACAATATATGAGTTTAAAATGGCCCACAGATCCCAGGTAGATGAAAATAATCTGTCCTCAGAAAGCTTTGCTCAATTTCTACTGGTATCTTATTTTTCTGTGAGTGAGGCATTCGTGAAGCATTCTTGTTTTACTGAGAAAAAGAGGGAACGATGGGGGGAGAAAATTATCGACAACCCTCACACAATGTATGCAGTAAGTTTGATCAAATCAGCCATCTGTGACATGGGTTTCAGTGAACAGTGGCCATCGTTCTACCACTAAATTAAAGTCAAGTGACTATTTCTGTAAAGCTGATTATGTTATAGTCCTTACAAGAACGAAGAAATGTAGATCCAGTAAAATAACCAGCGGAATACACGAATCTACCATGCATCATTTCACACTGGAGAGTCGTGTAAAAACATCAGCCAAAAAAGCACTATAACCTTTGAAAACAAGTTAATGCTGGCTTCTTGTGACACTCTAAACACACATTTACCAGTTTCATCCTTCTTGCAACCCATTTGGTCGGACTATTTTCCGAATTCATATCCTTTTTACTTCGTACTTGGGTACCAAACTGCACGGATTGGCGTTTGTGTTAACGGGAAACTCAGCTTATTATCAGTTGAATCTACTGTTCATAAGTTCAGTGTAAATTAGTACTAAATTTTGTTCTCCTCATAGTATGATGGCATTTTTATTCTTACGTTTCATTGTCATGAAAAAAATAAAACCTATTGATAGTTAGGTCGATGGCACTTTGTCTAATCACGTTTCTCTGTCCGGTTTTAACGATTATTACCGCTTTGTGAAATCAATATCGCCCGCATTCCCCAGATATGCGGCAACACCCAGTGGTTTTTAGCATATGAACAAATACAAACTTACCGTGATTACATGAGTGTTTGGTCCCAAACTTTAGGCGGTTGGATGGTTAAACCAATGCAGACTAATTAAGGGCTTTCGATAATCTAGAAGAAGGCACTGTACTGCTCTGAAAACCACCAGTTGAAGACTGTTGCTTCTGGTCGACATTTTCAAAAACATTTGCACCTTTGTTTACCGCTAGCACCTCCAAATGAATCACTTCAACATCTGCAGTGGCATTCCGTTTATTAGTTCTACGCACACAAGGTTATTTTGGTGGGTTAGGCTCACCGTACCAGAAGTTCAGACTTTCTGTCACACTCCGTCTACTTGAGTGGGTTCGGATATTGTGGCTCCATAGCTGATCCCAGAATCACAGAGTGTAGCTGGAAATTTGGTTTTCAGGACACTACGACATAAGGTCAAGATTGACGTGACCTATCCGTTCACTATGATTTATAGTGATGGTGGTATATGTCCAAAATGTGATTTTCCTCTTCTGAAAAAGTGGAATACCGAATTTTTTTCGGTGGAATGCTTTTTTATAGCTGAAATTTCAGCCGTTTGGCCTTCGCCATACAAGTAAATGAAACTTGTAGTTTACCAATAATAGTAGGTTGGTAGTTCTATTTTATTTGTCGGTGTTTGAGGGATTTGTAGAATTAACGTTCAAGTCACTCTCGTTCGGCAGTCATCCTTCTGTCCTGATGCTATTATTTTGGCGAGTCCACACCAAAGTTGGAAATCACTGGACCCGAGTTGCACCCACATTACAGCTCATCAGCAGTGATTATATTCTAGGCGGCGCTGGAATTTGAATTCCCGGAATCTGACATGCGGTGCAAGCGTGTTGCCTCTACCCCACCAGAGCACACTGGATCTCTGAATTATCAGGTGAGAAGAGGCGAACTTCTTCACGACTGGGCGATGTGATTGGTTTATCCGGTGCCTCGCAAATTGGTTTGCCTTATGAGAAACTGAGTATCCAAGGTCATTTGGGTGTTACCTCCCATTGGCCAAGTCACATAACAGGTCTTGTCTGACGCAGAACTCGTCGGAGTTATGTTCTCGGTTCAAATGGATGAGGGATCGCGGCCTGAGTATCAGCTATACAATGAGCCACCAGAGAACTCCGTCCAATGTTTCGTATGTGCGGTACACCAGTACGTACAAAACGATTCACTGAAAGCTGAACAATCAATTACCTTGTCCACTTATCTATAAACAGATTCATCAGGCTAACTTAGTTGAAGTCAAAAAAACATCGGTTTTATCAGACACGGTAGACCGTAAACGGCAAATTAAGAATGTTCCCGATTCGGAATTACTGTTTGTTGAGAGGTACACAATAACACTGTCCATTCAACCTTTTTAAGAGTTCGGTTTTCAGGCTTAAACCATCTGAACCGATAACCTGATGCTGTTAAGCTAGCTCTAAATTTGGATACCTTGTATGAACAAGCTGCTGTCATGCACTCGAACGGAATACTGGTTTCATTAAGCTAACCGTATCAGTTGTAGGGTGTGACAAACTATTTTTAGTAACCAGGAGGAATCCTCTTTAAAAATTTTCACCAACTTCAAAGTGCTGTTGTTTGTATTGAGTAAACTGAGAATGGTTATTGGCTAACCAAAATATGTGCCTCGAATATTCCCTGAAGGTAACCCTTGATCAAAAAATACTATATTCACCGTTCACTCCACACAAACGATAAGTTTGATATTCGCATTCTTTGTGATTTCACGATTATCGATCGTTGAAATTCCATGATCAAAGTGTGCCACCCTCTTTTGGATGCAAATTATGAGTTCGAGTAGCTTGTCTTAAATCCACCCCTACTCTGTTCTCCCTTGCAGATATACTATGGCACAAATTTTTTTCCAAAGCAACTCTTAATACTCTCCAGTTCATCCGCAACCACGGTTTACCAAGAGTGTGCGATATGTAAAGACCAGTCCAACGCAACAGAATGCAGAGAGCAGAATCAGAGCCCATTGGGCTGCACCTACCTAACATGTGATAACTATTTTGCTGCCGAAAATACCCCAGAATCTCACTCAGCTACAAAACACATTGCCAAAACAGAATCCGATGAGTTTTTTCAAAACCATGAACCCCACTCTGCTGATCCTGAAGATTACGTGGATACAAACGGAGAAACCACGCATCACACCAAAAAGTCCGCAAAGCTCTCAACTGCAACTTTGAAGCTGCCTACAAAACAGAGATTGAGTGATGTTGAGGAACTCACGGATGCTGAGACAGAGACGTCGTCGACATCCCTCCGATCCTACTTGTCGCAGGAGGTGCTGAAGACGCATGAAACAAAGGATCATCAGCCAGCCCTAGAGTCGTTAGAACAAGGACCTAATGCAGATGACTCTAAACTCAACCCAGTGTCCCCTTCACTCGATCCCACCGTTAGCACCGTGCTCAACGACACGCTAGCAGCATATCCCCAGAAAATTTACTACATTCCACAGATTGTTACATACTTTCCAGCAACAGACTTTCCGCGTAATCCACAAGCTGCTGTTAAAGCTCCTGGTCTAAGTGAAGAAACTGCATACAATCATGCGCAGAATTTGAGTGAATCGTTTACCTCCGTTGACGAGGATACTTCACTTCCGAGATTCTTACCTCATTGTCATGCAGGCATTATCTTTCCGTCGATTGAACAAGTCAGTTCTTCAGAAATAAACCATTACGTCGGCATCCCCTGCTCTTCCGATGTGCAGTTTAGTTATCTAAACCACGCGATGAAAAATGCATTCCTGGCACCGAACTCACCTCTGTCCCTTTATGTCTTTGACCAAGATCCGTCCTACTGTCTATATACGAGCCCCGTTATACCGAGTGAACCATCCCCTTTTATACTAGCCTACCCGATGTAATTTCACTTTGCTTTAAAACCACAAACGGTACCCGTCCATTTCTTGGTCAACTCAAATACCCTTCACTTTCGTCGTTCAAATTTGATTACTTATCAGGTGAAAGAATTTCAAACTGAAGTTTTTGTGCTGTGAACTTGTGCTGCTACCATCGGCCCCCCTCCAAACTTCAACATCACACTGCTTTTGATTCTTATCATCTTTCTGTTTGTATTGTGCTGTGTCTGACTTACGAATCATGTTTGCACTCAAAATAATTTATGTCTGTGTCAGCCAACCACCAAGCCCACCAAGATACTGATCAATTCACAGAAACTAAGAGAACTGTCATATACTGCCAGCAAAACCAACATACTCTTCCAAAAAGACCGTTTTATTTATTGATATGTTGTTCATATTTGTCAGTGTACCTACCGCTAAGTACGTGTCAGATTGCCAAATTGTTACACATCAAACCTATTGGTGTAAAAGTTCAAGCTTTTTGGTTCCTAGCATTGTATGGGAGTTCACACGCTTCATGACATGTGCATCATTTTAGAGTGCACCTTACCGATTACCGGCAACCGAGACTAGAAAACACAGTTTGAAATGAGGTAGTCCTGGAAATTCTCGTGTTTGTTAATTTTTATTGGGGTTATTTGGGCTGCACTGGTTCTTTAAAAAACAATGTGAATGTCCCTCAGGGACGACAGTGATGCACTTGAATCACAATTCTCAGAAAAATACCTCACTGAAATGGACAACTTCATGAGTTAAAGTATCAAGACGTAGAGGAGAACGCCAACGGTTTCACTAGCTTCAACAAAACTCTCTTCAGCTGGAGGGGAGTCCGGTGACTTTGGCTAATTGATCTTTTCACCGCTGAGTTACTTATCTTTTGAACAGTAGTACAAAACAGACGAGAAGTAGATGGTGGAAGCCCCGTTGTCGTCGTAAAAGGGGGGCTGAACTACCCAGTAAACTCCGCTCAGTGAAAAAAACGGAAAGTTTATTACTATTTCGGATATGGACAGCTAAACATACAAGGCAGATGTATATATCCTCGACTGAAAGTAGGGTGGTTGGTGCCACATTGGCTAAAAAGTCATCCATAGGTTATTGAGCCTCTGATATGCGCATGAACAACTATTACGAACTAAGTACAGTGGAGAACACAAACTTGCTTCAATCGGATACTCAGATTCAAGGGTAATGATGTGAAAAGTTTCTCGCATGTCAGAAATTATCCAAAGTTCTGAAAAAGACGTTAACTGTCTAACTGTACTGACGTTTGTCAAACGTATCATCCCTTCTGAAAAGGTGGTACCTCTAAGCATCTGATGTTCCTGAGTGTTCCCCATTTACTTGACAGTCTTATGGCTTCATGCGGAACTTTCAGATTTACTACAATGGCATGTGGTTAGTTTCTCCGGGAACATTTTGTAGTTCACAAACGCAATAGGTGAACCTTCCAAGCCCCGGAACGGTGGTTGTCAGGGTACAAATCGCAAATTACAGTGATCTTGAAAATATTATGGAATCCTACAGGACTTCAAAGTTACACATCCGTTTTATCCGGTTGGAAGCCGTAGTCTCCTAAGAAGTACTATTACTCAGGTATCGCTTCACGAAGTTACCGTATTACTAAATACTGAGGTAAGATGCGTCGTGGATTGGTAAAAGTTCAAAGAAAAGCTAGGGAAACGACACGCTGATTTGATTTAACGATAAGCCTGTATAAACAATACATGGTAACACAAGTAGTCAAAAGGCGGGCGTGTACATTTCGTAAAAATTGATTCAACAGGTCAACAGTCCAAAGCTTTTGAGGGATTACGGTTAAGCATCGAATACGTGAGGGAAACACAGAAAACGGTGGGCTCGAGCATAGGGACTGATCGGCGAAAAGGAGGAACGCCGGCTCACCAAAACCATTTGTTCGTACTACTCATCTCATGGTGATTCGCTTGACGGCAGTCTTATCATAAGGAGCCGTATTTCTCGTGACATTACGACATGTTCATGTGACCTTCAAGTTTGTTATAGTGTTCAACGATGTTTTGTGTGACTTGGTGAAATTCTAAATGAATATTGAATTGTTTTTTAACTCCGACGGAGCCCAGTCTGACACTCAAACATAGAAGTTCATCGAACATTATCCGATACATTGTGAATCAGTGATTTATCACAAGCCTTGTACCATGTAACTTTGCCTCGATTTTATGAGTGGTGTGAAGCACTGATACCCATCGTGCTTCTGGCCTGCAAATCCAAAGTTGTAATAGATGGAAGTACCTCTCGCGGATGCCAGTGATCCACAGTCGGCAGGATTCATGCTGTTAGGAAAACATCCTATTTGAAAAGTTCTCGTGTTTTAGTGCATGAAACTAGTTCTGTTGAATACGAAAGCTTTCAACCTCAAACTGACGGCACAAATGTAACGCAGTGTAATCAGTGAGTCCGTCCAAAAGCATTTGTCGTTAGACCGGATTTTTGATTGATTCATTAGGTAACACGTTATTCCGTCCTCGCAGCAACCCGGAGATCGGCGCGTGGAATTGTAACTGGCTTTACAGGCACTCCCGTTGATCTCCCAATAAAAAGCTGTAATGCACATGCTGCACCGACCCACATCTTGCGCAATCCACGACTCCTTAACGGAATTTGGGTGTAACAGAAAATGTGCAACAAGGTACTTTAGATAACAAGCTGTTTAGATTTAGTGCATTTAGAAACCACTAGTCACTTAACAACTTGAACATTATTTCCTCATTTTTTGCAAATCCTTTGATTGTCTTGAGTGACCGTCGCATCCCAGTCACCGTCTGATCGACAAATTCCTTGTAATGACTGCTTCTTGTGTTGTAGCAACAGGGCTGCAACCCATCCTCAAGGATCATAGAAAGAGACCTCGCAGAAAAGAACATCGCACTTGATCACTGGGCACTTTCTCATGGCAAGTTTAAACTTGAAACCGTCAGTCCTGAGGCAGCAACATAGTCCTAAGGTCATTTGTTCACTGGGATGTAGTGAGTTTACAGACACGTGGAACGCTTGTACGCGAAGATCTTGGAGGGGACTTTATCTCTACTCCCGGAAACGTTTTTCGCATGTCTGCAGACAACGTGACATCGTTCACATGAAATCGCAGCAACACTCCAGTGATGTCGCTCATCAAATCTGGTGCCGGTTGCAAGCAGGCATTCATAGATTCCCTCCTATACTTTGCTGCACAACCAATTACTATTCTCACTTTCCCTGGTTTGTGCACAATAAAGAGAAGATAGTGCTGAAGGAATCGATGATCCTAAAGCTGGTCAGTTAGTGCTCTCCTGGTATAAGCCTTCATCATTTGGCTTCATCATTGGATATGATGTCTGTGTAAAGTCGTAAGTCGTAAAGTCGCAATTCAAGGTAAATTAGCTAACTTTTGGCAGGTTTTCTCCGATAAATCATCGCAGTGACGCTTCTGTGAAAGTTAAACTTGATCGTGATCATCCGAAAGACTTGGCACTTTCTTCACTTGATTTAGCTCATGCTTGTCTTCTATGCAAACAAACTTTTGTTTAAATCTTTGATCATCAACCTCGCTTTCTAGTGTTTTCTGTGCGTTTCCTGTGCAGTTTATTATGGTGATTTTGCCTCTGGTGTTACTCGATAGACCAAAGATGACCCAAATGAATCCTGATAATAATGCATACAGTTGCTTACTGGTCCCAAATAGTTGCTTTATTATCCGGGGTGCTTTCACTGCATTGATGTACACCAAAACAGATACCTTTTGGATGCGATTCGAGAGAGCTTGATGTCGTTCAGATAGAGCAAACGATGCGCTACGTATTAGAAGGTAAGAGTGAGCTCATAAGGGGTAATTCGTTGGCAGAATACGCCATTTCCACATGCACTTGATTATCCTTGTTGAAGGATTCGGTCGTTTAAATGAAATTCATTATATATCACTAACATGTTCCGTTGATTGAGCTGAACTGCATTTCTGTTGGGCTATCATGCAGGCCAATCTGACCAGTGACTTTAAGTGACACTAAGGTAGAGTCTTATCCAATATCAAGAAGAGCATAGCGTGGTGCAGCACCACTAGGAACAAAAAGAAGCGCCAGAAGAAGACTCAAGAGAATTAATGAGATTTTCGGGGAAATCTAGCTCACATTAGCAGTCGATCAAGGAGTTGGCTTCACGTGGGTGTCAGTGTGCGGTGACCGATAATGTCGGTTATATCATCTTGGTATGTTGCAACCAAGGTGGCTCGAAATTTTGTCCTCTCGGTAGTTGGATTCAGGCAAGTGAAGCACAGATTATGTTCCCTCAACACATGGGACCTTTGTTTTTAAGACTTGGCCTGGAATGCGGTACATACGTAGTGATGAGTCACACGTATTGGACAACTCAGAACCTTAGATGTAACGGCCCTAACTGTGGAAGAGGAAGCTATTTGTGTGTTGAATAAGCTGTCTACACTTCTGCTGCATGCACGGATAGCGCCACTGACTAGCTAACGGCAGACGTTTGTCGCCGCTGAGGCCATCTTTTAAAAAATTGAATCAAATTTTTCTCTCGTGTATGATGTGACCGCAATCTTCATCCATTCTTTCTGAAGATGCTTTGGTGGCCTCCAAAAGGTCAAGAGTTAAGCGTTCATGAGAAATTAGGAGTGATTGTCGAACCAGTGAGCTAGACACAGAAAATAATGGGCTCAGGCAGGGGAGGGTTTCGCCAGTGACACGCCTCCTCAGCAAACAACTGCAATAGGGGTGAAAACTCAAGCAACAAATGCTATGATTGTCTAGACAATATATATATATATATATATATATATATATGTACAATGATAACTTCACCTATGTGAATCACATTACATTAGCCGGGATGAAGAATGGTATGTGTTAGCGGTGTGGTCAACACCCACAGTCACACCAGCGCACCAGAGACAGAACCCACTGGTAAATTCAGTGCGGCAAGTGCACGGGGTGCGCAGTTCCTCGGTGCTAATCGATTCTCAGTACAATTATACTTCACCTATGTGAATCACATTACATTAGCCGGGATGAAGAATGGTATGTGTTAGCGGTGTGGTCAACACCCACAGTCACACCAGCGCACCAGAGACAGAACCCACTGGTAAATTCAGTGCGGCAAGTGCACGGGGTGCGCAGTTCCTCGGTGCTAATCGATTCTCAACCTCAGGCCAGCGAAAACCAGGGAGCAACCAACCTGACACACTTATGTGCGATTCATAACCCGAAGGCTCGAAGTTTCCAGGAAGAACTTACTGGACATCGTGGATGATCTGAACAGTGTATTTTAACGGGTTTGTCGAGCTCATAACCCCATTTGCTTTCCAATCTTTTAACAAAGAGGGCGAAACACTTACTATTCATAGCTCATGCTATCCGAACCGGGAGCCAAGAAGGGTCAGTTGCATGACAGACTAACGATTCAACCAGAAATAATTGCTGGTA